GGCGGCTCTACAAAGGACCCTCCGCCGGGCGGAACCTCATCCCTCATCCCGCCCAGGGCAGGGAGGCTGCCTGCCTGCGGTCGTCTTGTCTAAGCGCTGCTGACAACCGCACGCAAGACCAGGGGCGCTTCCTGCACCTCAACGGGTGCCCCCCTCTACCGCCCCACCACCCGCACTCCAGCTGCCTGCTTCTCTCTGGGTGGCTGAAGCCCCTGCCCTCTGCTGCTCCGATCCCTGTCAAGGGCTGCGTGCCTGGTACACTGCCCCTGGACAGGGAGGCTCCACCGGCCATCCGAAAGGAACAGCCCTCCAGAGCCTGCGCTGCCTCCTCCGCGACTTTGCCCAGGTTATAGCAGAGGGCCGTTGGGGGTCAGGCCCCTCCTGCTAGGTAGCTCTGAGCCCAGAGGAGTAGGGGCTGGGATCCATACCCAGGGGCGTAGCTTGACAATGAGGCCTGGCCCTCCCTTAACCTGACGCTGAAGCCCCGCGGCACCCAGGGGAGGCAGCCTGGGGCCAGGGGGCGGGCAGGCCGGCCTTTGCAGCCGGGGGCCCCTGAGGCCAGTTGCCTTCTTGCCCCCTCACAGGAGGACAGGAAGATCCCTCATGGCAATGTGTCTGCCAGGAAGGTGCTCCTGGCCCGGGAGGGCGACGAGGCTGCTGGACACCCCCCATTTATCAAGCTCAGTGACCCGGGAGTCAGCACCGCTGCCCTTTCGAAAGAGGGTGAGTGGCTCGCAACGATGCTTTCTGAGTAGACGGGGGGGGGGGGGCCATCGCCCTTCCCCAACCGGCTGTGACCAAAATGGCAACGGGGGCCATTTGGAGCAAGGCAGGGGAAGGGGGGGGGGGGGGCCATCGCCCTTCCCCAACCGGCTGTGACCAAAATGGCAACGGGGGCCATTTGGAGCAAGGCAGGGGAAGGGGGGGGGGGGGGCCATCGCCCTTCCCCAACCGGCTGTGACCAAAATGGCAACGGGGGCCATTTGGAGCAAGGCAGGGGAAGGGGGGGGGGGGGGCCATCGCCCTTCCCCAACCGGCTGTGACCAAAATGGCAACGGGGGCCATTTGGAGCAAGGCAGGGGAAGGGGGGGGGGGGGGCCATCGCCCTTCCCCAACCGGCTGTGACCAAAATGGCAACGGGGGCCATTTGGAGCAAGGCAGGGGAAGGGGGGGGGGGGGGCCATCGCCCTTCCCCAACCGGCTGTGACCAAAATGGCAACGGGGGCCATTTGGAGCAAGGCAGGGGAAGGGGGGGGGGGGGGCCATCGCCCTTCCCCAACCGGCTGTGACCAAAATGGCAACGGGGGCCATTTGGAGCAAGGCAGGGGAAGGGGGGGGGGGGGGCCATCGCCCTTCCCCAACCGGCTGTGACCAAAATGGCAACGGGGGCCATTTGGAGCAAGGCAGGGGAAGGGGGGGGGGGGGGGAGGGAAAGCCACCCAATGGGCCCCAAGGGGCCCCCCCCCCCCCCCTTCCCCTGCCTTGCTCCAAATGGCCCCCGTTGCCATTTTGGTCACAGCCGGTTGGGGAAGGGCGATGGCACCCCCGGGCATCTGGCTTAAGCCTTGACCCCAGGGATGTTTTGCACTGCGCTCTGTGACCCAGCCAGCTCTTGTAAAAAAAACAGTAGGAATTCTTTAAATAATTCTGCAGCTGCGAAGGGAAAAGAAAGGAAACCTTAGCCACGTTCTCTGGGCTTGGCAACCCCTTACTGGAAAGGACCAGGTGCCAGGAAAAGCTTTGGATCATTCAGTCGAGGAGGAACCAATCCACAGGAACAGCATCTGGATCCCAGAGCTCCTCTACTCCAGCCCCTCGTCCTTTGTCCCCTGCGAGGGGGGAAATCCAGGACACAATTCTGTGACTTGGTCTGCAAAGAGGAAGTGAGGAGACAAAGCCCTGGCTCCGTGGGCAGAAGGGGGAGCCTTCAGGCAGGGTCCCCGGGGCCATGTGCAGAACGGGCCACAATGCAGGAATATCCTCCGGTGCAGGAGAGCTGGTTAGTCTCTGGTGACAAAAAACAGAAGGGCCTGGGAGCGCCTTTTCCAATTCACAGATTTTATTAAAAGGCCTAGAAGCTTTTATTTTACTGAAATCCGAGAGCGAGGAAAGAAAATATTTTTTGCTAAGAGAATATAACAGCCTCATAATATCATCAGAACATCCATGGCCATAAGTTAAGATCAGCCCGGCCCCCAAACCACGTCAAGGGCAGCCCGCAGCCTCGTCTGACTCGCCCTGCCAGAGCACCCACGTGCACCCAAGGGGCTTTGTCATACCCGCCGCCTGCTTTCCCGCTCCCCCTGGGACCCCGTCTCCTGGGCAAAGGCCACAGCTGGGTTCACTGCTTTATTTTTGATGGTTGTTTCACCATTACTGGTTTCACGGTACTGTTCTTGCAAGCTGCCCAGACTTGTTTAAAATGGGTGGCCATGTACACCTTTTAAATAAATAATAACTACATCCCGGCCACGGGGGCACCCCTCCTCCATGCACACCCACGTGCAAGCGCCCCCTCCTTCGCCTCCATGCAACTCCCACCTGCCCCTCTCTTCATCGCAGGAGTGACGGACCGAATTCCCTGGGTGGCCCCCGAGTGCGTGGAGGACCCCAAGAAGCTGGCTGTGGAGTCTGACCGGTGGGGCTTTGGTGCGACCTTATGGGAGATCTTCAACGGTGGACACATGCCCGTCTGGGGGATGGGGCCCCAAGCAGTAAGCTTTCCGGCAGCCCCAAGGGGCTGGGAGGTGGGAGGGGGTGCTCTTGCCACGCTCACCCACCCACCCACC